AGAGAGAGAGAGAGAGAGAGAGAGAGAGAGAAATGGATGAGGTGACCAGCACAGAAACACAACATATTTGTAAGCATGATGTTACTCAAGCAATTTAATATTTCAGATGCTCTATGATGAGGCAGATAATTTTCTATCATAAATCTTCTTGCTTTAAATAACAAAAAAAAATCAAACACTTGTTCATACCTATTCTGCACCACTAAATATCATTCTTATTCCAATATGTGCCTTACAATATGGTGGCCTGTTTATAGCTGTGGACCTGACGTGTTAGAATGAAGTGATTTTTCTCCTTTTTTATTCAGTTAATTATTGCAACTAAACCACGTTAACAAATTAAGTATATACTGGATATATTTTCTGTAGTTTCAATAGAATATTTTCTATTCCTGTTACTCTCTTAAGTTAACCTATAGTTTCTATCAACAGGGAATCATTGTAACAATATGACCATGTCAATCCATTCATAAATGTTTATCAATAGAGTCTAAATCTTGGCTTTTATTTCCATTACAGTGAGAATATATAATTTCTAATCTTTTTGTTTTCAAAATTATAAAAAAATTAACCTCTACGGATAATTTCATCAAGGACTGGATAATAAATGCAATATACTAAACAAGGAGCCAAAACAGTCACTTCCCAATATGCATTTGGCACTTTTCTAGTCCATTTATTCAGAGCCCATTAATGCACATGTAACTGTTCTGACTATTTTCAACCTCTGTAGCTTAACTAACAAAATTTCCAGGGTAAAAATTTTCTGGCCCTTATGGTACTACTGGATAAGGTCCCAATTCCTAAATATTCCAATTTTAGCAGCAGCATAAGTGAAATGCCAACTGTCTGATTTGGAAAAAGAGGTGAGTGATTTGGAAAAAGAGGTGAGGAGTGTGAAAAGTAGAATGAGAATTTAACACAATGTAAAATATGCTTGATAACTTGATGAGAGAAATGACAAATGAAAATTACTGGTGATAATAATAATAATAATAATAATAATAATAATAGTGCAACACGGGAAATGATGCACAACAAATTTTAGCATTTAGCCGAAAGAAAATTACATATGTATTTTGAAGATATAGTTGGACAGCTTAGCAAAGTCGAGTGATAGAAATAATGTGTACTTCTTTTTTTTTTTTTTTTTTCTTTTGAATTGTTACCTAATTTTCATTTAAAGCTATTATATCACAAAAGTTATCCCTTGGTTTTACAAATAACCAAACAAAAATAATATAAAAAATTTCACTGAAACATAAAATGTAATTTTAAACCACCCTTTGCAAACTGACATTTAGTAACTATCTTTTTGCAAGCTGAGATGTGAAGAACAACAGGGGCTTCTTAAAAAAAAAAAAAAAAAAAAAAAAAAAAAAAAAAAAAAAAAAAAATCACATAAGCCCCAATGATGTCATAGGGTCTAATTACAAGAATACAACTAAGACATGGTTACCATCTACATGGAAGGTAACTGTAATAGTTAAATCTACCTTATACTGTGATCTTTACTTCATATTTTCATGCCTCTATTGCATTCATATATAGATATTAAGATGTATCTTTATATACTGTCATTATTCACCAGAATAAAGCATAAATAAATCTGAAATAAAAGAGCTATTTCCATGCATCTGTAAGCTAATGCCGGTGTAAAGTGTTGAGTCCCTTAGTCAATCTCCAAGAGCCGTGTAGCCCTGAACTGGGGTCCCCAAGGCCCAGTGGGATCATCAAGTGGGTTAGAATCTTCAAGATTGTCTTCTCCTTCAAAATGGGCATGGACATGCTCCTCAAACCTATGAAAAAGGAACATATTACACAACATAGAAGCTAATTCTATGCAATTAATTCTCTCCACTAACTAACAACATCCATATATAAAATTTCTTCCTAAATAACAGTATTTAAGTCATGGTTAAATATATCAAGAAAGTTGAGCCTTCATACTGCTTAAAACTTACTTTTTCTGGTTGTTTCGCTGGAAAGCCACAGAACATACTGGACAAACATGTTCCAAGTGAGAGTTAATGTGTTCCTCAAGGAGACGGATGGCACCAGATTGGAAGGACAAGGTGCACATTGGACATTCGATCAGCTTTCTATAAGAAATAAATATTACTAATTTCAATAACGGAAAAAAATATATATATCTTCAGCTCTTCAACAGATAAACAGTTTGATATCTAACTGTGGTAGTAAACTTACCCATTATTCTCGTGGGATGCTGATAAAGAGGTGCCCTCATCATTATCGCTTGTGCTGTGGAAATCATCATCATCGGACTCATGCCCTAGTCCACTTGCCAACTGCTGGCTTGAGAATTGGCTCATGACAGCAGCTTGGCGGGCAGTAGGTGTAGTCTCTGGCAGCAGTGGGGGAGGGAGATTGGAACCAGTGGCATCATGAGGAGCAAGTGTCGGCTGAGGGACAACCAATGAAGTTCGAGGTGGAGAGTTGACCACTCCTTGTGCCTGAGCCCGAAGAGAGTACATTGATGGTGTTGGGGAGGGTGCTGAAGGACGAAGGTTTCCACCCAAGGTATCCTGGGGGGGTAAGCATGCAATCTGCATCTCTGGTTCTGGAAGGAAAACAGGTGCTGTGCGTGGAGCTGGCAAGAAACTGTTGCTATATAAAACCTGCTGCTCAACACTGCAACCTGACTGTCTTTCTACAGATGACCTCTGGCTGTTCTGGAGCTGCTGTTCTTGTTCACTGGATTCCTCTTCTTGCTCAACAGACTGGGTTTCCTCAGGCTTTTCTACCTGATCAGTTTCTGCTTGCTGTTCTGCTTCATCATTCTGCTGTTGGTCCTCCTCCTCTAGCTGATGGGACTCCAACTGCTGCTCTGAGCCAGAGGTGGTATCTCTGTCACGTGAACTAGTTTCTGGCTGACGGGCTTCCAGCTGGGATTTTAGGGATTCAATCTGAGAAGTGAGCCTGACCACAATGTCCTCCATTTTTCGGTGCATGGTCTCACTTAACTGCTGGGTGGACTGAGAGCAGCTTGTGCATGAAGTTAAAGCTGAAGAACAAGACTGTAACATGCTAGCAACCTCTTGGTCTGTGGGTCTATCTTCCAAATCCTTCATATCTTCACTGCCATCTTCACCATCTCTGACCTGCAGCCAAGAGCTGCCTTGAGATGAAACTGATTCTGCCATGACTGACATCTTCTGAAAGATGTAAGAGGAATCTATAGACTTCATGTTGAGAGAGAGAGAGAGAGAGAGAGAGAGAGNACTAGATATATATATCACTCTAATCCTTTAATAGATAAGTATATATTACTTTATATAGTATTATCTATTCATTATTATCCTTAATTACCATATATTTTACTATTATTATCAGTATATATCTTTATATAATACATACCCGATTTATATACTAAATATATTATATACATATACATATTAATGCATATATACTATTATATATTATCCCTGTATATATTTATTATATTTATATATATATTTATATGTATATATATATTTATATATATATATATATATATATATATATATATATATTATATATATACGTATATACATATATATATGAATACATGTGTGTGTGTGTGTGTGTGCGTGTGTGTTTTTGTGTGTATGGGTGTGTATGTGTATATGTGTACATATACATATGTATTGTATACACATCTATGTATGTATATATGTATATATATATATATATATAATATGTGTGTATATGTATATATATATATATATATAATTATATATATATATATATATATATATATATATATATATATATATATATATGTATGTATATATGTATATATATATATGTGTATATATATTATATTATAATAATATATATATATATATATATATATATATATATATATATATATATATATATATATATACAGATACATACATAATGCATATACATTATATATATATATATATATATATATATATATATATATATATATATGTATGTGTGTGTGTGTGTGTGTGTGTGTGTGTGTGTGTGTGTGTGTGTGTGTGTGTGTGTGTGTGTGTGTGTGTATGTGTATGTGTATGTGTGTATGTGTGTGTGAGCGCATGCACGCACGCACACACGCATGCACGCGCGCACGCACGCACGCACGCATGCACGCACACACACACACACACACACACACACACACACACACACACACACACACACACACACACACACACATACATATATTATGTTGTATAGTGACTTATGAGCAATCATCTTTTGTTTTAGCTTTTTCCATTAGCCAATAATGTCTATCACAGTTTATACTGTGTTGGAAACTTGTTTCATTTTGGCTACCATGACAAGTAGTTTGATTCTTCTGGAAAGTTTCATAAAAACAGAATAAAGTAAAGGAATCAAAATATAAGGGCAGCATTGTACTATTTATTTATATTTTATATACATATATGTATATATATATTTTTTTTTTCATTAAGATAGTTAAGTAAAAAAGAAATAAAAGTATTCACTTTTTAAAAATAAGCTATAATGTTGCAATTTTTGTTTTCATTTTGTTTCATTCCTTCTTTTTCTCTCATTCTTTCCTTCTGTTGTTCTCTTCAGAAAATTATCTTGGCGTTAAAGGTTCATTTAGAATGTTTTGAGCCGTTGGTAGCTAAATGATAAGAAAAGTTGTATGTGCACAGACTGAATGTAGGATAGATGTGGTTCAGCATTAGGTTGTGCATGTGCTTCCATGAATAAGTGTGAATAAATGAAGTCTTCATATTTCTAAAATCAAACAATTATACAACCTCCCAATAGTAACATAACTGTCAATTAATCACACAGCCATCGTAAGCAAGCCATCCAATAGTTCCATAACCATTTAATAATGTCACAACCACTGCTCGTCAAATAATCAATACCACAAAACCACCCAGTTGTCATAAACACTTCAGTAATCACATAACCATCAGATATAAAAAGCATTCACTACTAGGCACACCTTTCTATAATCATAAACCCCTCAATGATTAAAGTGATTTAACTCGGAAACATGTGTCTAAATTATTATTTGTGCTTATCTGATTAGATGACTTGTGTGTTCACTAAATGTGCTTTCATGTTATTAAATTACTTCACCATTTTAAAGATAGTTGCCTTTAGTCACATTTAGAATGAATTCCTATTAAAAAAACTAATATTGCAACTAATAGCAAATCATTGCTATCAGAGTTTAGACTGTGTTGCAAGCTTGTTTCATTGTGGCTGCAATTTGAATAGATCCCAGAGTTTGATTTGTGATCCAGACATTCTTGAACCTGAATGGAAGCTGGTCTTTCTGAAGGGTTGTTATATTAATTGCAGTAGTTATCTGTATTCTATTTGATCCTTTGAGTGCAGTATTGTTAACCCTCCTGATTTACAAAATGCTGTGGCAGCACAAATACCAGGATTTATCTATCAGTTTTGCTTAATACTTAGAGAATATTTGAATGAATATACTGCTCCAGGGTAAGCAAATTTTCATTTTTTTATGATAAGGAAAATACTAAGTAGATAAATTAAAAACCAATAAAGATTGACTAGAAGACATTAATGAAGTTTAAACAGAGGGTTTACAAGGTATAGGATTAAAACATAATTTCCACAAGCTCAATTTTATAAGGTGATACGCTTACCGTTAGATTGTTAATTTGCAGTAATATGATTGAGACTTGCAAAAGAAAATTTTCATTAATGTAAATGTCAGTCCCTTTAGTTGCATCAGATAAAATGCAAGAACACATGGAGGATGCACCCACACTTCTTGAGTTGGATGAATGTGGTGAAGAATCCTCTGTTGTGACAATGTTAATTTTAAGAGGACCTCGCACAGCCAAGTTAAATTATATTTGGAACTAGAATTAGATTCATAATGCTAATAATGGAAAGCTAATTTACCTTTGTTTTCACATTTGTTTTTTCAAGTATTTTTGGGATGTTTGAGCATTATATTTTTTTTAAGTGTGTTTTATTGGAAAATATAGTTCTTGAAATCTGACTTGCAGTTATGAAGATACACAGTAGTGGTGCTGTTTTGTTGGAATGGTGAAACATAGTTTAATGTTTGCATAACAGATAACACATGTTAAGCAAATGCTGTGTCATCTGTAGAACATAAGTGAACTCTCGAGTTGTTGTTTTTTCCTTTCCTAACTAAACATGTATTCCTTTTTGAATAATTACTGTCTTCTTGCACTCTCAGTTTTCTCTAACACTTCCTCAGACCATGTTCTTCAGATTAATGAAGACAATTTTGTTTGCTTTAGGCTTTATTAAATAATTTAGAAGGACTCGCTTGATAAATGTCATCATTTTTGGGAAATTGGGTGTATATGTATTATTTTTATTTTATTATATTTATTTTCAATAAGTTGACAAAACGCTTCAGTAATAAGAGCTTGAAGGGGAATGAGAATGATTAGGGCCAAACGTTTAGATCCCAAATCTGATTTGACCTGGAATTAATGTTGAAAAATTCTAATAAAGGTTACAATGGCATAGAATCCCTCAATGAATTTTGGCCACAAATGTTAGAAGCAGATGTGCAGTAGTTCCCTCCATTATAAAAAACATAGAAAACGAGAGATCTTCTACTTGGAAGACAGGAGAACATCAGTAAAAAATCACAACAGCAACCATAGAAAAATGCACAGTTGGAAAAAAAGTCGAACAGTAAAAATATGAATCCGATAGTAATATACATATGCATGAGCTGAAGAAGGGATGTAAAATTGTAATTATATGCTCAAGCACAACAAATACATTTTTTTGAGTCAGTGGAACGTTATAAATAGAAAGCCAGATTTTAAAGATTAGCAAAAAAAGTTTTTGTCCATTATTAAGATAACTTGAGAAAATATCACAATACATAAATTTAGTAAAAGAAAGTCATTGGTAAATAATGCATATAAAATTACAGGATTCAAACATGGAATGTATCCACAAATGATAGTTGCAATGAGTGATTTTTTTTTCTGTGAAAACGAAATCCCACTTTACATAGCTAAATATACAATTACAGTACAAAACGAAACATGCTTTATGACAATCCTTTATTGATGAAACCTACTATGCAAAACAAATATGAAAACCTGAAAATATACCAAATAATTATATTATATACAATACGTGATGAAAGTTGACAGAGAAATGACCACAGCATACAAGATTAGCTAAGAAATATCCATCTAATACATTCCTAAATATAATGTCTAGGTGGAATTCAAAAGAACTGATGGCTGATTTCTTCTAAAGCATAAATAGATCACACTGTGATCCCTTCGAGATCATAGATAAATTTAAAACTGATTGAGTTAGAGATAAAGATAGCTCAAACCAGAGGAAGTGTTTTAGAATTTTAATGATAGAGGTAGTATCTGTGACACAGATTTTTAAAGTGAAAGGTTTGGCAGCTAACCATCCCAGAGCATTGCCTTTGAGGAAGGTAAAGTAGGTGTAGGTTTTGTATACAGGGTCTGAAAAGTCTCACCGACATCATTTGTCCAGACTGTAGTATTTGTGCCAAGGCCAGCACATGTGAGACCGTCGTTTTGCAATAGATTTTTAGAGACTGCAAATATGAGTCGTTTTGGTGTATGGTTTAGTTTTGTATAACTGAACAATGGTCTAGTTTCCAGTTTCTAATTTCCCCTAAACACAAATAGGTTGCAGAAAACATGTCTCTGATCTTTCACTGTGTCAAGGTACCCAGGTTCTCCTTGTCTGCTTGTGAACATGTTGACAGCATGAAAAGTGTATTAACTCGTATTACCATTAGATTTACCATACAATCAATGTGTATTTTGTAAGGTCAATTCACTATATTCTGAAAGATTTCTTAGCAAGATTCTTCATAATACAACTACTAATTCTTGTTTCATTATGTATTATGTTGCTTCAAGTTCTACACACAAAAGAAAGCATCTGACTTGGTTATTAAAAGAACCACACTACTATGGAGAGGTAGAGCAGATGACATTGTAAAAAAATTGGCAGTTCACACAGAAAGACTAGGTTATATATTTACAGAAATCAAATGGAAGCAGAGAAAATAAGTGCATCTGGTCTGTAAGGCTGCATCATGTTACTATTCTCATTCAACTTGGTAAGGTTTATTCATGCAAAGCTATTTCAGTAAGTGTCCAAGTGAAGATGTTAAGTTCAACGGTCAAAAATGAAAAATTGGATTTTGTTTTTCCTTGAATTTTGTTTTATTGTATGTTCTTGCCTATGTTCATCAGCAAAGAGAGAGATTTTCATTTGCAGGTATTCCCTGTAAAATGACAAATAAGCACGTGTAAACTCAAGGGAGTAAAATATAAAAATAAAAGAAACAATGTCATTCTGTATATTCTAAGATAATGCATCAATATGGAAGCGATGGTGGAAGACTTGAACAGTCCATCTTACCCAATTGACATCAAGATCATTACAAGTATTTCTCTTTTAAAAAATACCTTGTAGAAATTGATATTTTTCATGTATGCTTAAAATTGAATTTTCTTCTTTATTCTTTATCTTTTTCTTTCTTTCTTTCTCCTTTTTTTCTTCCTTTCTGTCTCTCTCTATCTCTAAATTGAAAAAATCTTTTGATTCATAATTAGTTTTATTGTAGCTTTACAACAGGGACAATAGTATTAATTCATATTATATCAATAAAATTAATTTACTTTCATTTAAGGTTATAAATTCAAAATCCTATCAATAAATAAGTAAAACTGAAAATTCATTGTGTACAGATAGGAATATATTTGCATTTATAATGGTACAAAGATTCTCATTTACTGTATGTTGCTTATTGAGCACTGTTTACTAGCTATGCAAACCTATAAACAATAAAACAATATAACGATAAACGACTAAGCAGAAAAGAATGTCCCTGCTCATAGTCTACTACTTACTCCAATTTTAAAAAATGAAATTTTCCCACTACAAGAAAAAGCTAAAATGGTTTCCATTATTTTTCAACATTGTTTATTATCATTATCACTGGAGTATCACAAAGCCAATTTTTTGTCAAGCTATTTCCACCTGAACCTTAAGAACACCTTCAACAGAAGTTTTTACTACTGTTTTAAAAATATTTTATGATGCAACTATTTGCACATATGGTGTGTATGTCTGTGTTTCTCTGTTTATATTTGTGTTGGTGCTTTTGTGTGTGAATACTGCTCATATATATAGACAGATACATACATAAATGTACTTATTTATCTATTATCCCTATCAGGACAGGGCTGAATTTTTTTGTGATGCAATATTACGCAACAGTCTAAACTTTGTGGCTAGGCCTAAACTGCGTACAGCCAGCCCACCCGTTGCGAGCCATGACATGTATACGTCATAGGCCATTACAAAATGATGGCTATATATGTACCCATCACTGAAGGGTTAAAGCAATGAGCTTTACAATAACATATGCATTAAAGCACTTGGCTAACTATTATACATATATGTACTTGGGAAAGCATGTGTGATATGCATGTTGTGCTTCTTTGTTTGTAACCTATATTGGATATTATTCACCAAGCCATATTATGAAAAATGTGAACTCAAGTTAAAGCAAAGAAGCATCTGTTCATCAGATTCTAATTTCACAAACTGATACCTCAGCAGTCTATATGATATTATGTTGGAATCTTTCATTACTAGACCATCTGCAGAGGGTTTTGAGTACTGTTGTGGCTCTAATTTCTTCTAATAATAATCCGTTGATGCTAGTATGGCATATGCATACATGTCTTGTCCACCACTGTTTTTTATTAATCAATTTTGTTTACATATAAATGGCTCCTCAAGAGCTTAGACACTATGGAGTCAATTATTTGTCCTAATCTCACTTGCTTAACCTTTTTCTTGATTTTTGGACAACTTTTGGTTTTACCTTTATTGCTATTAGTATTGGTAATAACATTAGAATAAACATAATGTCAAAATGCTACTACTAACTCCAATAACAATATTAATAGTGCTTCTAGAGTCATTTATGTGTAAAAAAATTCACAATGGACTATACGTGTACCTGGCAACAATGACTTAAGGGGTGTGTACTTAATCATAATTTTGAATTAGATGCACAGCCTTTTTAATAAGAAAAGTTGATGAGGAAATGACTAAGTAACTAAAAATTGGGACAAATCTTTTCAGAATTTTATTTCAAAGAAATCTTGTAGCATAAAGTATTCACTGTAAGTATACAGTATCCACTGTATGTACATATATATCAAGGGTGATGAAACTCATATATTAGAGCATGAGGAAAAATTTCAACCTTAATAACATATAATGTTGCTAAAGAATAACTGAACATTCAGATATCAAAAAGCTGTAAAGGTCTTACAAACATTTTACCTGCACTGACTGAAACAGATTGTGTATATACCTTAAGTAGTAATATTTGCAGAGAATATAAAAACAATAATGTATACAGTATATATAAAATTTCTGTATTTCAATACTAACACAGGGTATATCACTGGCAAATATCATTAACAAAATATTTTCATTCAAATCATTTAAATCATTACCCCTTTCACAGGAACTCAAATCGTGCATACAGTGCTGGTAAAAACTCTTACTGAATTTATGGTCTGCAATTCATCAATGTCCATTCATATTCACTCATTATTTCAGGACTCTAATGGAGTTTCTAAAAGACACTTTGGAAGAAGCTAGAGTAATTTTGATATAAAGAATTTGCTAAAAACACACTAATCATTTGCCTTTACATTTCACACAGACAGAGCACAACAAAAGGATCTTAGCTTGATTTTAACCCATTTACGATGGGTGTCCCACATATGAGACACCCGAAAAAAGAAGAAAAAGAATTGCCAGGCGTCCTGCCGGTGTGACGGTGTGACGCTGTATTGCGGTTTGCATTCCGACTCAGCAGCTGGCCACAGCTGGCACACAGGCAGATTCTGGGCCAGCCCCGTGCACCAATTTTGTAGCCGCCCGGAATCTTTTATTTTCGGCTTCAAAATATACCGGCATTAGTGGGTTAATACATATATTACTTTTAAAAAATGCTAAAAACAAAAACAAAAAAGGAAGAAAGTTAAGATCTTTCTGCATTATTTGATTAAATGCTCATATATATAGTCAATAAATACAAAGAGCTGCAGACTGCTGAAAGTCACTTCCTTTTCAGAGTAAATTATATATCAGCTGTGAAAATAACTAAGATCCTCAATGCAAATCACAAACAGACAAGTATGAGAATTCCATATATAGAAGAGGCAACTGCATCTGATCTACTAACTAGTCAAGCAAAGTTAGTAGTTTTTTGTCACATTCAAAACATTGTACAACTAGGAGGGACAAGAGTTTTTAGCAGCACTGTACATGTAAATCATTCATGTTGAAGTATATTCACTTCCCAGTTATCATTTCATATAAAACCAAATTAACAGAATTAGCATTTTTTTACACACACAAAAAAAAAAATAATAATAAAATAAAATAAAAAAATATAATAATAAATAAATAAATATTAATAATGATAATGATAATGATAATAAATATAATAATAATAATATTAATAAATATAGTAATAATAATAATAATAATAATAATAATAATAATAATAATAATAATAATAATAATAATAATAATAATAATAATAATAATAATAATAATAATAATAATAATAATAATAATAATGATAATGATAATGATAATGATAATGATAATGATAATGATAATGATAATGATAATGATAATGATAATAATAATAATAATAATAATAATAATAATAATAATAATAATAATAATAATAATAATAATAATAATAATAAATATATGGAAACCAAAAATTATTACAGCTGATCTCAGTTACCTGGCCATCAGAAATAAATGTAACTAAATATTTCAGTAATTTAACAGAATGCTGAAGATTTCTATAGATTTCAGTTTATTGTTTTGTTTCCTTTATAATTACTATCATCAAAATGAAGTATATTTACTTTGCTAACCATGGGGAATTCTCTTCCACTGATAGACAATAAGTGTATAAGACTGTGTGAAAAAGTCCAGAGAAAAGAAGCTGGAAAAAGCTGACTAAGTTCCATAATCTTTTCAAGCATCAGAAAGACTCAGTCCACTCTCAGTCAAATGAGATAAGCTCAGCCTGCTGCTCCTGTGTTGTTGGGGGTGGCTGGGCTTGAGGAGGAATCTGTGGGGCTCCTCCACTCATATCACCTTGCATAGGCATCACGCCTTGTGGCTGCTGTCCTGGCCCAGCAATAGGATGCTGACTGGTAATCTGCGGAGGAGCCATGCCTGGTCCAGGTTGCTGCTGGGGTGGGTAGCCTGGCATCCCACCACTAATATTTGGGAGACTGTTTGCCATTCCTGAAATTTTAATGATCATTATTACTCAATACAAAGCAATACATCACTTTTTTTCAAAAGTGAAAAATCCAAAACATTTATGAAGACTTTGGTCATCACAAACAGTATACCACATTTATTTCTTTTAAATAAATAAATAAATAAAAAATAAAAACACAGGCATTCTATTCATAAATATAAACATTAGCAAATTACAAACAATATTTTATATACACATGACTTTAAAATAAGGTTTATGAATATCCATATAAAGTTACTTCACCTGTATTGTACAAGACAGTTTATATCATAGTATACTTAAATACTTATTAACTACTAACTACCATTATTTACAGAAATAATGACCACTTATATGAACAACTTGATACAAGATTTAGGCTTAACCCACTCACGCCGGCTACATTTTGTAGCCAAAATATAAAAAATCCGGGCGGCTATAAAATCGGCGGGCGGAGCTTCCCCGGAGTCTGTCCGCCCGCCGGCTGCGGCCCACTACTGAGCCGGAGCGCGACCCCAACACAGCGTCACACTGGCGGGACGCACGGTGTGTTTATTTTTTTCGGGTGTGTCAGATGTGGGACACCCGGCGTGATTGGGTTAAGGCATATATACTTCTGACTTTTTGTTTTGCCTTTATTCTATTTGTTTCTCAGGTCAGAGGAATAAATGGATACTAATTATAATGAGAACCCGTTATGAAAATTAACTGATCCAAGTGAACTGAAACTCAAATAAAAGAGGTATTTTTCTCCACCTACTAACTTACCCTGCATGTTATATGGGGAAAATTCATGTGGAGGCTGCTGGTACCCTGGTTGAGTCACAGGCGGAGGCCCTGCCTGACCCCCTCCCATCACTGGACCTGGGTGGCTACCCGGAGGAGGATGCTGGTACTGGCCTTGTCCTGGTCCTCCAGGATATGACATAGAGTTTGGCGGAGCACCCCCTTGTGGCACACCACCTGGTGGGACTCCAGTCTGAGGCATTCCACCTTGTGGTACACCTCCCTGAATTTTTTTTTAATGAAACAGGTCAAATTATAATCTAATCAAATTATTAACAATTTAATTTATGTTTCCAACAAAATAAACAAACACAAAATCACAAAAGACTTTACCTGGGGAGGCCCTGACTCAGGTTGACCCTGATACATATGCCCAGGTAATGGTGGCTGGCTTGGCATAGGCCCAGCCACACCAGGGTATGCAGGGTAACCCATTGGGTACATGGAGGTGGGTGGTGGTCCCATCACAGAACCCTTGTTGAACATCTCTCTTTCACTCTCGGCCATACGATGAAGCGCAAGCTGCCTCTGATACTCTAAATATTCTTGCTTCTTCTTCCTCATGATTTCTAGCTTTTGCATCATCTGAACTTGCCTGAACATATCAAAAGGAAGTATATAACAAACAATATTTACTGTATAAATATCACTTATCTTCCAAGACTTAAATCAAATTGAAGCTTAGGCCTAAATCAAAATAAAAAACATAAGAAAAAAATGGGGGAAAAAAAAATAATAATAATAATAATAAAATAAGAACCACTATTTTCAAGGAAAGGAAGAAGTTCACATCAAACTTTGACCTTAAAAATTCCAAATTTACAATGAAAGGAAAAGAATGGAAAAAGAAAAATCGATCCTTCTAAACAAATCTGCATAATCTTCCTATTTCTCAGAGCTGCCTCACCTTAAACGCTCTTGTTCCTCCTTCTCACGTCTCACCCGTTCACGATGTTCTTCCCTGAGGGCTTCAAGAGCAGCTCGGGCATCCCTCACCTGTGAAATTTTGTCTTGAAGACGTTCACAGTTTACTGAAAGTACACAGAAGTTGTTTAATGAGATGCTTAATATTGTTATGAATGAAATTATGTACTTATCCCCAACAATATGGATGACACAACCATCCTGTAATGAAAAATTTGGTTTAAGGAACAGGTGAGGTGAACTGCCATTGTAAGCATTTAAGACTAACCATGAGTACACAAAGCTCTTGGACAGTGATTACCCATTTGGCATTTATGAAGGGGCATTATTTCCATCGATAAACGAGTATGGAATGTAATGTCCATGAGCTATGACTGGAAGAATGTCAGCTCCAAGCAGGACACTATTTCTATGTTCAGGATCCTATTCCTACCTGCCATGACTGGTGGCATATGTTGTATTACGAAAATTGAATATCATGGAAAAAAATTTAAAATGTTACTTATATGTTATGAGATATCTAGAAAGATGATATGGAGTCTGTGGTAGGAAAATAGTCTATTACCATCTTGATAAAGCAAATCAAATGATAAATAGAGACATTGGGAAATGGCATAATAGCTAAAAATATTTAAGGAGAAAAAGAGAAAAAAACATTGCAAAGGGGAGGCATGGGGGTCTTGTCTCCACACGAGTGTTCGTTTGCACCCCACCAACAAGCTGCACACACAGCAGAGTGCTTGCTCACATGAAACTAAAGCCTATATTTTGGGCCATGTGATAAAAGTGAAGCATCTGGATCCAAAATGTTAAGGAGAGTCATGGAAGCTTAATGTTAGTTGGGTAAGAATTTGGAACCCTGGCAATAGCAATATGACACTCCAAATGTTAAAGTCCATCATAATAAAACTATTTTCCCAACATTCCCTACAAAATAAATTTCAAAACAAAATTGATAAGAAGAGTTGTACAAATTTCAGGCTTATATACTTCGATAAGCTATAGGCCCTGATGTTTGGGACAATATTACTACTCACCTCTTTTGTCATCTTGCTGATGAATGTACTTCAGCAGCTGAGCATGCATTGCTGTGATGTTCATGAACAGAGTTTGAACAGATGAATCATTAGCAATGGGACGTCCTCGACACTGATTGCTCTTCATGCGATTCACAAATATTTCTAACTGAGTACGTAGAGTTGTCACAAACTCATCCACTTCCTCTGTCTCTCCATTTTGGTAATTCTGCAAATACCCATCTATTCAGACTAGCCTATCAGAAGTACACTCACGATTTTGATTATCTTCATACATGATCTACCTTTAGAGAACAATGAATGGTACTTTACACTGTTTCAGAATATTTAATTAATCCTTCATATACAAAAACTAAAATAATCTTGCATCTTTACACTGATTGTAGTGACATACTGAGAAGAATCTGACAAAGAACAACCATGTTGGAAATAATAAAAAGCGTACCAGAAAACTTACTTCTGTCATCTTGACTTGGGAAAGTTTGGTTGGAGAGAGTGAGGACTTGGTGGCATTTATGGGTGCTGATGGTTGCGTGGGTGAAAGAGTGCTAGCCAAATCACTCACTCCTTGGTCCTGCTTTTGTTGAAAAGTCTGCTTTTGCTGAGACTGCTGTTCCCAGTAGGAACGGTCCAAGTATCTGCAAACATTTCACAGCATAATTTTTTTTTTTTCACAACGATATTTAAAAACAAATGTTCTACTCCTGGGTTTGCTGCACATTATGCCAGTACATGAATGAAACTGGATTAGATAAAAATACAACCTAGAAAACCACATTAACAATGTTGGTATCTATGTTCAAATCTTATGCAAACAACTATGAAACCAAATGTTGCTCACAAACCATTACAACTCTCTTCATTCTATAGTTTAAGGGGAGGAGTGAATGGGAAACTAAGGTAGCAAAGGGAAGAAAAAAGATCTAGGAGGTGAAAAAAAAAAAAATAAATAAATAAAATAAATAATATATAAATATATAATAGAAAAGATAAAGAAGAAAGGAATGCATACTTCAAACACATCTAGACACCACAATGCAATTGATAGAGAATATATGAAAAATATAGTTTCCATGTATTCACCATTGTTGTGGTTCAGAGGACTGTTAGGAATCAAAAAGGCTCTATGACCTCAAGCAAAGTATCTACCAACATTCTAGATGTATAGGTGGCAACCAAAATCATCAACTTTATTGGTAAACAGATATTCTGGGCGACATTTTGCTATAATCTAATTGTATTTATAACGGATTTTTTAAAAGAAACTTACCATGATTCAAAGGCAAGTACATTATTTTTTTCTGCTACCAAAGTCGCTTATGAGCTAGTATTTGTCAAATCCATTAAATATTCACTTTTTCCATTTTCCTTTCTATTCTCTATATTTGTGATAATGTGAATAAAATGCTTTAAAAAAAAGTTAACTGAAAGACAGGATATAAGAAATCAGTACCTTATCACCATAGACCTTGAGATAAAATATGAATATAAGTAAAATTATTTACAAGCAATAGTGAAATCCTCTATTTTCTGGTCATGGGAGGTTATACTTCACTCCCATCTTTTCTTTCTTCCCCACTTCCTTTAGTGAGCAGCTTAAGGGAATTGTCACTTCTGTACCTCCCTTGTCTAACAATTATCATTCATTTTCTATGTTCTTTCTATTGCAAAAACCTCTAGGTCATACAAAGAGAACAACAAATTTGATTTTGGAAATTCCATTTAGTTTCTGAATTACCGCATGTAACATAATCGCAAAAAAATTATAATAATAATAAAAAAATAAACTGTGAGGTGTGGAAGGTACCAAAGTTAAACAAAATATATATGAATAAACAAATAAATGACCTTGAAAGTTTTTATATGGTATTTGTTAATTTTCTATATTTTTTCATCCAATTATAGTATGCGCCTATAGACCAAAAGGAAGCCTAGACATTGCTCTTTCTTTTGTTTTATCTTTCCTTCAGATCAGATAAGTGATTAGTGAACAGCATCAAAAAATGTAAAGCAGTATGGCGAAAATGTCCCCAGCCAACGCCGCCATGTGGCCAACTAAATGCTGTGGCTAGCCCTGCGATCACGCATGTGCACGTCGGAACTTATTTGCCATGCCTTCAGTGATCCTGAAGGCATAGCACACTCAAACAAATAGGCACACACACATGCGGGGGCACGCGCGGGAGCATTCATCAATTCAAACGCATGCACTTGCACACTCAGACTCACACGAGCAATCATACTCGCACACACACATGAACACACATACACAAGTGCACATACACACCTACACACATGTGCAGATGTGTGAGTGCTGTATGATTACCTGGGCACATATCTGAACTAACACTCCTGTCTTCAACCGTAATTCATATTCTACATCATCCTCCAGAAAACATGCGCACACATGCAAATACAAACACACATGTACAAACGTACAATATTACATGTACTTACATTTATACACATGTCAAAATAAATAATGCATACAGTCCAAAAGGAAGCCCAGACATTGCTCTTTCTAATGTTCTTTAATTTCATTCAGATCAGATAAGGGGTTAGTGAGCAGCACCAAAAAATGTAATATGAAGTGGCGATGACGTTATCCCTAACGCCACCATGCAGCCCTTTAAATGCTATGGTTAGCCCTGCGATCATTTGCACACAAGTCTGAACTTGTTTGCCTGCCTTCAGCCATCCTCTACACTTCACCTCATACTCCAACAAACAGGCCCAGACACACACACGCACACAGGCACACGCATATGTGCATTCTCACAAACTCATGCGTGCATGTATAGGCAAGCAAATGGTCACACACGCAAAAGCACGCATATGCAGGCACTAACCTATACACAAAAGTGCATGTAGGCGTACTCTCATACACTTATGCATGAGCTCACACACAAACATACGCACATGCTCAGGAGCGCACCAGCACATGAATGCAGATTTGATATGAACATATGGTAACTAAAAAATAATATACTACCCTGAGGTCTCAATACAATACGTGTTTTGCATGTAGGCCTACTCAAACAGTCATGTATGCCTACTAAAGCAAACTACAAAAGAGGAAAAAAAAAGAAAAAAAAAGAAAAAGAATTATTTTCTTTATAATTCAACATAAATCATCATGCATCATTCATGTATTGACATATGGTGTTGTGGTGAGGCCTAGGGTGAGGTAATTGAGAGCATAGGCCTTGAGCAGGCAGGAGAATTAACCTCAAGTTGCAGAGAAGACTGCGAAGTCTGTCTAGTTTTGGTGAGAAATATAGTATAAATACAAAATGAGATATGTAGCTTGGCCGGGTCATCCACGGCCATGTGCACTGATTGGCCGATGGCTTCATCGTTATCTCTCCCTCCGTGGACCTCAGCACGCTTGCCTGTCAGCTGACTCGGTGTTGGGGCAATTACACCAAGCGAGGCAATGCCGATGTTGAGTGAGGTAATTATGCAGAATGAGGTAGTACTGGCGCCGATGTGATTGTGGCATCCGCCACAGTGTAAAAATCATTATTTGAACTGATATTAACATGTAATTACTTTATTATAAGACGAATGAATGGTCAGAACATGTATCAGCTACACTTCAGAATACCATGTGAATGCCATAGAATGCAGCAAGATTGACATTGAGATAAGAATTGACATTGAGATAAGAAAAAGTGATCTGTGCGTATATTGAGTACAAAGCACTAATGTTTGAAAATAGCCGTATAAGTAAAGATTGAAATATTTCCATCAGACTCGACTCAATGGTTGGTACATAACAGCATCAGTAGATCTGATTTAATTTGAAATTGGTCATACTGCTGTAAAGGGCAATTCAGTAATAAGGGTACTAAAAGCTGGATTTATGAACTTCAGATGTATAAGCTAGATACTGATTGTTTCATATTGAAGATGATAATACTCAGTAATACCCGCTCTGAAATAAAAACTATGGGGAATTTTGAGCTTGTTTGTGTGCGCAGTCTTCGTCTAGAATTAAAAAGCTATCGCATCTGCTTCATGCATTTCCAATAAAAAATATTATGTTTAGACATTACCGAAGATCTTAGGTACCATAAATTCGCAAATATCCAACCACAACTAGGCATCTGAGTGATTTTATGCACTTCTTAACCCATTAACGCCGGTACATTTTGAAGCCGAAAATAAAAGATTCCAGGTGGCTACAAAATCGGCAGGCGGGTGGGCAGAGTCTGGGGCAGCCCGCTGCTGTGTCGGAGCGTGAGCCCCGATACAGCGTCACACTGGCGGGACATGCGTCAATGTTTATTTTTTGGGGCGTCTCATATCTGGGACACCCGTCATTAGTGGGTTAATAAAGATAATGGCTGCAAATGGCTACTCAACAACTTTACACTCTTTTCCCATTGCACTCTGTTACTAGTGACAATTATCAAAGAAAATGGTTTGAGAGGGATAACTAATATATTTCATTACTTTAGATATAAAAGTCAATGTAGGCCTACTAAATGAGGATAAATATTTTTTGCTTTGTGTGTGTTTACGTACATATGCTCCTTCATTGAAAATTACAAACCCCCAGTGACCTCCTCCCCCCGTGTGGAGCACGGGAAAAATTCAATTACTTTGGTAATTTCTCGAATTCCATGTACTAAATTCATATGCATTTAAAATTCTCAAAATTGAACCACCAACTAACTTTACAGCCTTGAAGATATCAAATTAATGATCACTTTTCATTAAATAAATTTGTTTCAAAAATGAATAATAGCAAAGTCATTTAATTATCAGAATAAATAAAAATAATAATAAAAGGAGGCGAGATTCATACGATCGCTGAGGGAATACTGACCAAATTCTCCACTGCACATGCGTGGGGTGTATCATACCCGTACTGTTCCTGTTATCTCACCTGTGACGTCATGGCCAGTCTCATGATTTCATTGGTCAATTGTTAATTTAATAGCCGATGGGGATACAATGCATGAGGAAACAGTTAATGAATGAACATAGCTAAAATAGAAGCTATGAAATTCAATGTTCAAATTAGTTTCGTCATGGCTTCTGTGTGACGGTTATCGCCTCAAACCCTACCAGGTCATTAAAAATCATTTTGAAGACAACAAGATTAGCCTGAAATTATTTTGTAATCACGGAGTGCTAACCTCTCAAGTGCTCTGTAAATTGTGCAAATTACCCTGCACATTAAGAAGTAGTTGTCGGTTTTGTAGCCATTAGCAGAAAATCGCCAAAACTAAGCAGCAGAAGCAGTGCTCCTTCTCCATCAGATATTATAAAGGAACACTTAAGGAAGCACATGTCCATCCATCCAAAATTGTGCTTCATTAATCACTGGCTGAAGAAGTGGAATTACGACACTATATTTGAAAATCTCAGGTGGGCAGAGCGAACCAGTCTTGACTGGAGGAGTTTCTGCTCCGAAATAACGGCTCACTGGCTCTCCGATCAAGACCCGATAGGAGGGGAAGACATTGTGGTTGAGATTGATGAGTCTTGCATCAGGAAGTGAAAATATGGTCGCAGACAGGAGCTCAGCAACATCTGGGTCTTTGGAGGCATACAGAGGGAGTTGAAGAAATGTTTCCTCATTCCTCTAGTGCCTCCCCTGTCCCCTAACTAGAATAAGGACAGTCTGGTCCCACTGATACAAAAATATATTCTTCCTGAGGCCGTTATTTGTAGTGACAGTTGGGGAGCATACCTTGGGCTCAACAAGGAGGTTTATACTCATCTAGTTATTAACCATTTGAAAGAGTTTATTGATCCTGGTGATCGCAAAACCCACACCCAGAACATTGAGAGACTTTGAGGAGACATCCAGGAAATAGACCCAAGTATTACCAGCAATACCTCTCCTGTTACCTATTCATTCATTAGAACTTCCACTATAGGTTTCAGAATCTTCTGGTTATGACTGCCCATCTATACCAACCGTCGCTCCCGCTCCTGCAAGCAGCTCCAGTGATATGAACTACCCACACCCTAGCCCCTCCTCTGCATAGGTATGTTGTATGGTTTATTTTTACCCAAGTGCTTATATACAGTAATACGCATGTGTATGACCAACATGTGGGAAGGCCCGATGCCGTCTCTCTGACACTCTCTCCTGCCATGAATAAGAGGAAGATTTTTTGATTTCCTGGGCTGGGGGTCACAGGGGCACAGCGGCCTGCATTGTGTAATTTTCTATCTATGATCAATATGTGGGAGTGTGCGATGCTGAGCCTGTCCAACGCTACCATGAATATGCATAGGATTCTTTGTTTTCCTGGGTGGAAGTTGGGAGGTGGCAGTCCCGTAAGTGGGGGGCTGCAGGGGGAACAGCCCCCTGCATTAGAAAGTAAAGCAATTAAGTGACAAATAGTACCGTGACTACAGCAGAGATCGAGAATTCCATACTACACGCATGATATAAAGAGTGGCGCGATTCTTGTATGGAAAAGACACTCTAGCCATTTCCGATGGAAATTAACCCATTTACGACGGGTGTCCCACATATGAGACACCCAAAAAATTAAACATTGCCAGGCAAATAAATAAAGAGAGTAGCCAGTGTGACGGGCTGGCCCCACGCGCCAATTTTGTAGCCACCCAGAAAATATTATTTTCGGCTTCAAAATATACCACCATTAGTGGGTTAACACCAGAATCAATCAAACCAAAAAAATAGGAATCAAACAAATCTAGTTTCGTTTTGAGAAGTGTTGGTGATACCTTTTGCCAAATTTACCCAGTTAAGAGGTCAACCACTATACTAACCCAGAGGCTCTTTCCAAGTATTACATTGTTTACACTGGTTGAATTACAGAACATAGTGTCATGAACCTCACAGTTACTTTTGAGTGAACCATAGCAACCAATACGAACTCATGCAATCATACCCATTACAAAATAGAACTGTCATCAAATAAATGGAAAATATCAATTACCTTGCAAGCTCTGGGTCCATATCTTCTTTATCCTGGGATGGCTGTATGGATGTCTGAGCAGGAGTTGGTGAGGACTGGCGCCAATTTCCACCAAGTAAGTTTGATGTTGCTCTTAATTTCTGTAAATTAAAGTGCATTCCATGCTAAGCCTGCTAAAATAAATACATAAATAAATTAAGTGTAGTGATTGTGAATGATTGTGACTGTGATTGTGAGTGAGTGGGTATGTGAATGATTGAGTATGTGAATGAGTGTCAGTGAAAGAATGAATGAATGAATGAATGAGTGAGTCAGTGAAAGAATGAATGAATGAGTGAGTTAATGAGTGAGTGGAGTGAGTGGTGAGTTAAAGGGTGGGTATGTGAATGAATTAGTAAGCAAGTATGTGAGTGAGTGGTAAGTGAGTGAGTGAGTAAGTGACTGGGTATGTGAGTGGAGTGAGTGGGGTGAGTAAGTATATGAGTGAGAGTGAGTATGTGAGTGAGTGAGTGTGAGTGAGTGGAGTATGTGAGTGAGTGGAGTATGTGAGTGAGTGGAGTATGTGAGTGAGTGATGTGAGTGAGTGGAGTATGTGAGTGTGCGAGTATGTGGGTGAGTGAGTATGCGAGTATGTGGGTGAGTGAGTATGTGAGTATGTGGGTGAGTGAGTATGCGAGTATGTGGGTGAGTGAGTATGCGAGTATGTGGGTGAGTGAGTATGTGAGTATGTGGGTGAGTGAGTATGCGAGTATGTGGGTGAGTGAGTATGCGAGTATGTGAGTGAGTATGTGAGTGAGTGAGTGAGTGAGTATGTGAGTGAGTATGTGAGTGAGTATATGAGTGAGTGAGTATGTGAGTGAGTGAGTATATGAGTGAGTGAGTATGTATGTGAGTGAGTATGTGAGTGAATGAGTATGTGAGTGAGTATGTATGTGAGTGAGTATATATATGAGTGAGTATGTATGTGAGTGAGTATATATATGAGTGAGTATGTATGTGAGTGAGTATGTATGTGAGTGAGTATGTGAGTGAGTATGTATGAGTGAGTATGTATGCATGTGAGTGAGTGAGTATGTGAGTATGTGAGTGAGTATGGGAGTATGTGAGTGAGTATGAGTGAGTGAGTGAGTGAGTATGAGTGAGTGAGTGAGTGAGTGAGAGTGAGTGAGTGAGTATGAGTGAGTGAGTGAGTATGAGTGAGTGAGTGTGAGTGATGAGTATGAGTGAGTGAGTATGAGTGAGTGAGTGAGTATGTGAGTGAGTATGTGAGTATGTGAGTGAGTATGTGAGTGAGAGTGAGTGAGTATGATGAGTGAGTGTGAGTGAGTAAGTGATGTGAGTGCAGTGAGTGAGTGTGAGTGAGTATGTATGTGAGTGTGAGTATGTAGTGAGTGTATGTGAGTGAGTGAGTGAGTGAGTATGTGAGTGAGTGAGTGAGTATGTGATTGACAGAGTATGTGAGTGATAGAGTATGTGAGTGAGCGAGTGAGTGAGTGAGTATGTATGTGAGTGAGTATGTATGTATGTGAGAGAGTGGGTATGTGAGTGAGTGAGTATGTATGTGAGTGAGTGAGTGAGTATGTGAGTGAGTGAGTGAGTGTGAGTGAGAGTGAGTGATGTGAGTGAGTGAGTGATGTGAGTGAGTGAGTAGTATGTGAGTGAGTGAGTGAGTGATGAGTGAGTGAGTGTGAGTGAGTATGAGAGTGGTGAGTATGTGTGAGTATGTGAGTATGTGAGTGAGTGATGTGAGTGAGTGAGTGAGTGAGTGAGTGAGTGTGAGTGAGTTGAGTGTGAGTATGTGAGTGAGTGAGTGAGTGAGTATGTGAGTGAGTGAGTGAGTATGTGAGTGAGTGAGTGTGAGTGAGTGAGTATGTGAGTGAGTGAGTGAGTGAGTATGTGAGTGAGTGAGTGAGTATGTGTGAGTGAGTATGTGAGTGAGTGAGTATGTGAGTGAGTGAGTGAGTGAGTGTGAGTGAGTGAGTGAGTGTGAGTGGTGAGTGAGTGTGAGTTGTGAGTGAGTGAGTGAAAAACAAACCATTGTACTTACTTAATACCTTGCATTCCTTACAATAACAAAAATATTAGTAAATATGACACAGATAGAAACAAACCAACAAAAAAGTAAAAATTTGTTTCTGCTACTCGAAGTTTGCATTCTCCCTCAACGTTGCCAAGCTTCACCTTCAAGAATATTTAATACATGTTGAGACCGAAAATCTGTCGATGCACGCTATCAGCCCAACCTAAGCAAGTTTGATAAACTTGAGTCGTATTTCCAGAAATTGCCTCACCTTGGAGCCAAGGTAATTCCTCACGGTCTGCTGTGACTCACTTATCACAAGGAAACTTTACTACTTTGTGCAGGCTCGTCCCCGGTTGAGCATTCCTCCTCCTAAACGTTATCTCACTCTCCACAGTTACTTCCACCACGCTATTCACGCTGTTCCCCAATCATCAGATACTAAAATGACACAAAGTCTCACCCCGACTTGCTCTCTCCACCCTCCTCGGACACTGTAAACAAACTGCCACACCGTCAACTTTGACTCGGACTTTAAGTTCGCGCTCGACGAGATCCATCTTGCTCACGGTAATGTGCCCCGCCTCAGGCAATTCTAAAACACGAACTGAGGGTAGATAAAACACAACTACACTCGAACACATACGAATTCTCTACGCCCAATCACACTTTCACATGAGAGGGAGAAGAATGAGAATACGACTGCTCTAAAAGTCTCGGACGCGAAAATAATTCCTCGCCAACCCCGGGAAGACTCAGCAAGCTAGGAAGTGAGTGAGAGCCAGTCATGTGAGCTCTACACGTATTCATTAACAGGCCAAACCGCCCGCAACATTTGAATCAAGGCCCCAGAATAATCTTTCATGCGTCTGAAGGATAATAAATGTAAACGGTATCTTCTATATGTGTAGAGAAGAAGGAGTGCGTGCGTGCATGCGTGCAAGAATAATGATGATGATGATGATGATGATGATGATGATGATGATGATGATGATGATACACACACACACACACACAGAGAGAGAGAAGAGAGAGAGAGAGAGAGAGAGAGAGAGAAGAGAGAGAGAGAGAGAGAGAGAGAGAGAGAGAGAGAGAGAGAGAGAGACCACTGTCTGCGAGTTGGACACACTGCTAAGGAGTGTCGCACCCGCATTGCGCAGGAGAGAGAGGAAAACTTCCTCCGAAAAATATCGACTGAGCAGGCACAAAACAACGCTTTACTTGTTCAAAGTCTCAGTCGACTCCTTCCTCCTGCTCCTCATACCCCTGGTCCTGCCTTACCCCAGCCTCTCGCCGGTAACTGGGCTCCAGGACATCAGACATACACACCACACCCACAACCGTTCTACCCCGCTCACGCCCACCCATACACTCTCCAGCCGCTTAACCCCATTCATACAGCCTGGGGTCATGCCCGGCCGTAAGTCTCGAGACCAACTGACCATCATATCTGCCAATGTCCGGGGACTTTTAACGAACATCGGGGACCTCGTGAATAGTCACGTGATTCCTCGCACCCCAGACATCGTTGCAACAGTCGAAACATTTATGAACGAATCAGTCCCTGACAACTTTGGGCACATGAAAGGCTACACAAGGTGGCACCGACGCGACAGGACACACGGAACCTTTGGTGGTGTCGCTGTCTCTTTTCACAAGAGCCTGTCAGTCCAACCACTTGATGTCGATCTTCCAAATCATCTGGAGATTATGTTCTTCAAGATATGGGCTCAACATCAGACAGTCTTGCTGTGTGTATGTTACCGCCCACAATGGCAGGGTAGTGAGCCCATTGTGTTCCTGCAAACTCACCTTGATGAGCTGTTGCAGCTACACACTTGCAACCATGTCATCATCGTTGGGGATATGAACCAACACCTGGTTGCAAGATCCTTCGAAGAACTCCTCACAGTCCATGGCCTCTTCAATCACGTTGATTTTCCCACCCACATTTCCGGCTCATCTCTTGATCCTGTCGTCAGTGACCTGCCGGACAGCGTCGTCACCTGCTCTCCACTCAGTGCCGTGGGATCGTCAGATCACATGGCTATTCTGACTTTGATTCAGATCACACCCCAGAGGGATGCTGCCGTCACACGCACTAACTGGCTGTGGGGCAAAGCAGACTGGAATGGTCTCTGCAACGCACTACAACAAGAGCCCTGGAATAGCATCCTCGTAGGAGACGTCAATAATCAAGTTCACACTTTCACACACACTCTACGCACTACAAC